GCTCTCGAAAGTATTCCGCTCAACGAGCCATAGGGCGCTCCTTATTGTGAATCGGGGCACCTGCGCTGACGCCTGGTTTTCAGGGACCAGTGGTGCGGATCAGTTGGAAGAGCTTGCGATAATTGCCTACTACTTCTGCTTCGCCTATTTCTTGAGCCCTAATAATCCACCAAGCTTCCTTGTCAGCACGCAGGCTCCGCTTTAGTTTGCGTCTAATAGTCTACTTACTTACACTGTGCTCAAAGCCAGCGGGGAATTTTCTTCTGGATTCCAACAGGTACACCGACCCCGCGGATATCCAGTGACTGGTGCGGTGACGATTGATAGTGCCATAAGCAGAGGCTCCTGTGTCGTGCATGGCGACCGAGATCCTCTTCCACTGAAGCTCAGTGTCATTAGGACAAGAGAGCGAAAGTTCGGTACGCAGTGCAGCTTAGTAGGCTTGTCTGACCGAGGGCTGAGACAACTTATCAGTTGCTAATTGAGGGAGATGCTTGGTGCGCCTCCCGGTAAAGTTCATAGAAAAGCGACAGCGAACCAAGACATGATTAGAGTCGACGCAAATACTTCAGAACGAGCGGCAATCCAGGATGGAACCACGCCACCTGTAACTTATGGCAATGTGATCTATTTGGGTCCATCGCTGGTCAGCTATGGGCGGACGCCAAGTGGCACTTCGGCGTTTCCATCCCGATTAGTTTTTGCGCGTTTCTATCTAGATTTCATGTTCTCCGTATTCTGTTTGTATTCAACCTCATTTTTTGCCGTTTTTATTCTGGGGCGTGAGTCGTGGCAAATGGATCCACCGCACTTTGATGCCCGGATCATAGCTTTTCCACTGAACTGCATTTTATTTATATACCCGCGACCACGGTTAACCTTGGGTGAGTTTTGGTGAATTGCATCGTATTGGTCAGAAGCGACTGGGCGGTAGAAAACTGCTGTGCAGTAGTTGGGGCTTCACACATCCGAGAATAACTATTGACTTTCGTACTGTGCGCTAATGGAACCGATCTCATTGAACTGTAGTCTCTCATTGTTATTTTTTTGAGGAGGGCTGTCTATGTGTCCTGTCTGGTGTGAGTGGCTATTAAGGCACTTAAAAGGCGACACTCGGTGTAGTTTAACTAAAAACGGGGACGTGGAAATTAACGCGTCATGCCAAGGTCCTATTTCACTGCATTCATACTAGGAAACTTCAAGATCTTAACCATTTTATGAGACGGTTTGTTCCACAGGCGTCTGGAATCTACATATTTGCCAGTTACGCTGTGCGATTTTGACGCACAGTTGAAGCGCTTCCTTGTGTGACATACAGACACCATATCCAATAGTTAACTTGCCAAATGTAATAAAGACGCTTCTCGAAAGCTCTTGTGACTAAGCGTCTAAGCGAAGCATAAAATCTGGGTTGTAAAGCCCCACTGTGTGCTGTACTTGTCGGTCATCACCGAGCCAACTTCCTTGACTTTGTTAGCCTCGAAACTTAAGGCATTCGATGAGTGAATAATACTTGATTGATTCATTGCGGTCCTGTACACAAATGAAATGTCGCTCACAGACCTCCGTGACCTGGTGCTCAAGACATTATCCATCAACTTACGCCAATTGCACTCCGATCTCTGCGTCCCTCTACTTGAAGATTTCAAACGGAACAAAATCTATCGCAGAGTGCAGTGTTGGGTTCGGACAATACCGGAAGTCACTTAACATGCCTGCTCGCACAGTTGGATGGGCAGCCGTCCCGTTTGGCCTTTTTGGCCGCTCGCAGAGACGAAAAGAGGATACGAAAATAAATGGCGTGATAACTCAGGATGTTGTAAAATTTTATTGTACAGCTTTAACAGTCATTCTTTGCCTATGAGTCTACTTTTTCGTACAAAAAATAATAATGACCGTCGGAGCGCCCTGAGTTTTTATGCCCCTGGCCGTCCCATTTGGACACGTTTCGAACGTACACTATATATATATATATATATATATATATATATATATATATATATATATATATATATATATATTTACAGAAGAGTAGTAGGGAGAGTTGAATGTTATAGGAAGAAATTCATCACATCTAGGCTCACTCAGACAGCTGTCACACGCCCGGAAAAGCACTGTACGCGCGTTTCATCCTTTCGGGAATCGTCAGCAGTGCGCATTCCATCGGCCCTGGTTGGGCTCGAACCCGCAACTCGACTGTTGCCAGTCCGTGGTTGAGACCACTGAGCTACGGGGGACGGCAACGACCATCGTGAATAAGTTACTAGATGTGATATAGCGCCGCTCACTATCCACTGACTTACACGTTACTGCCGTGCAGAGGACAGGGTAGCTCCCTCACCAAGCGACGAGCTTACCAAACTTAAGCCGCCAATTAACTCATGGCATTATAAGCAGTTTGGTCTGTGTACTGATTGCAGAAGAGTAGTAGGGAGAGTTGAATGTTATAGGAAGAAATTCATCACATCTAGGCTCACTCAGACAGCCGTCACACGCCCGGAAAAGCACTGTACGCGCGTTTCATCCTTTCGGGAATCGTCAGCAGTGCGCATTCCATCGGGCCCTGGTTGGGCCCGAGCGGCGCTATATCAAATCTAGTAACTTATTCACGATGGTCGTTGCCGTCCCCCGCGTAGCTCAGTGGTCTCAACCACGGACTGGCAACAGTCGAGTTGCGGGTTCGAGCCCAGCCAGGGCCCGATGGAATGCGCACTGCTGACGATTCCCGAAGGGATGAAATGCGCGTACAGTGCTTTTCCGGGCGTGTGACAGCTGTCTGAGTGAGCCTAGATGTGATGAATTTTTTCCTATATATATATATATATACGTTTGGAACGTACACTATATATATATATATAATGATCACAATCTGGGTACAGATATTGTGCCATCGGAACCATATCGGAATAGGAAAATAAAGTTAGCGCAAAAGAAGAAAATAAACAATTTTTTGTCCATTTTGCTACACACGGTTTTGAGTTTTTTATGTTCTTTGTGGGGGGGGGGAGGGGGATCACCGCAACAAGCAGAGATACACGCCCGCCACTGAGTTCGGTTTCGAGCCATGACTTCCAATGTTTCCTACCCAACTTGGGACCCCATTCAGGGAGTCCGGAGGAACCAACCGTGGCCAGCTTTTTCATACTGCTTCACCAAGTTATAGGCTGTCCTCCACACCGCCTCCTCCAACCCTGTCCAGCGACTGCGAACAAGGCACGACGCGGAAGACGCTGAACGGACATACGCAGTACGTGTCCGAGCCATCGTAGTTGGTGCAGCTAAACATGCGCCTCGGGGGAGTGGCTGTCACCACCTAAGACACGCTATCTGACTTCAGCGTTGGTTACGTGGTTCAGCCAACACACACAGGCGATGGACCGCAAGCAACGGTTCTCGAAGCCAGACAGTAGGTCATCTGTACGAGTAGGCCAACAGTACAGCGCAGACAGTAGCACTATAAACCCGTCCTTTGATGGAGAGACGGGTGTCATGGTGGCGCCATAAATGCCTCAGCCTGGAGAAGGCGAGACGAGCTCTTGAGATACACATCGAAATCTCGTTTCCAATAGCCCCACCAGCAGTTATGCAGCTTCCCAGGTAGACAAAACTCTGTACCAATTCTAACGTTTCCACATCGATGATGAGCGAAGGTAGGGGCGGACACCAGTCTTGAAAAAGCGCTTCGCACTTGGATGGTGAAAAGTGCATGCCATACTTCGAGGCTTCAATTGCCAGGCAGTTAAGTGCAAGTTGGATAACCTGCGGACCGTCACTCAACAAGACGATATCATCATCGTATGCTATAGCATAGCGTAAATACAGCGTGGGAAACTAATTCAGCTCATTGTTGACGGAATTTGCAACCAGTCACAATATACGTTAAGTGCGCTAGGGAAAGTTTTTATGTGACCGAAATCCGTCCCAAATGTGTCCAAACTGGGAAAGGCAAGGGCATAAAAACGATCATTCGGGGTGCTACATCGGTTACTTTAGCGGACATTTTTCGGTCACTCATGTTATGCGGGGTCTTAGTGATTGGAAAGGCTGTTTTACTAATTCACAATGAATTGCAATCTGCATCAAGATTGCATATCGCAGTGTAGATGCGCGGTGGGTATTTTAAGACCGGATGACGAATATTATTAGCCACTTCGTTTTCTGCCCTCCACGGACGTGTAGACAGTTGTTACATAGCTGCTGGATTTTGAACCGGACGGTTAATCTTGTGTGTAATTAACGTTGTTTCATCAATAACGTGTGACGTGATGCCATCCTCCCTCTTTTCTCGGTCTCACAGTGTATGTCCCTTTCAGTGATCTGCGTGTAGCAGATTTCCCCGGTTTATCCGATTTTGTGTGTAAAATTATAACAAAATATTACGGTACGCTTATTCGGTGCTTAATGTTGAACTGCGTGTTGTGTTCATTTGTCTGAACCGACTACCGATGCTTACTCAGCGCCTCGACCGGATTTCATCACGCAACTGCAATACATGCTGCATCTCTTCGCATCTCAGTGGTGTCGTCTTGTAGCTAGAAAACAGGGAGACTTTTACTGTGAAAACAACTGGTCTCTGCCTTATCGAGTCAAAATTTGCGCTCTGTTAACTATGAAATGCAGTAAGCTTTGAATAGCCTCCTCGGGACAAATCGATTCCTTACAGGTGCTTTACACACTAAATGAGCTTGTAACCGAACTAAATCCTGACCAAACAACAGAACTTAAAACAGGGATAATCTCCCAGATGCGCGCCCCCGTTGTTGATGCTTACTGACAGTTACGTTGTAAGTTTGAAACTTTTTAACATCAGTGTCCGAAAAACGCTTTATTGCACCACATTAGCAGTGCGGTCGTCGAAAAATCCACGTGTTCGGTTGTATAAAATTTATTTAAACTGCGTGCAATCATAATCTTTCATGTCCTTTCTGTCATTGTCACGGTTCTCGCATGATAGATGCATTTACGATCACACTACTGGCTCCTTTTTGTCTCTTCTCTAGTCTCAGCCACTAATATTACGCGCCCAAACCGAAGCACTCCAAGGTACTCCCGAGCAGTCTACTTCGAGTCATGGCATTCGGTGGCTTGAAGGAACAGTGGACAATGAGTTTTTGGGGCGGAAAAAGTCTAACTGTTGTTGCATATATAAAAAACCTCATCGCTGGGATGAGTCCTCTAGTTCTTCTTCTTCATCCAGTTCCGATGACGACAACGATCGTGGCGAAGACAAAAACGTGAGACACATTCGTTCCACAGAACATTGCCGTGGACATACTAGGCACTGTTACCAGAATAAAAGACGCGAAGGTGGGAAAGACGGCCAGACAGCTGTCAACACTGATCCTTCAATTCCCGGATCTGCCGCTGCTGTAGCTACTGACAGCCACAAAGTGTCGGAACCGCCGGTCAAACATACCTCGGTGGATAATCTCAAATGATTTTTCCACAGTTAGTACCCTATTCTGACGCAAACAAGGCTGTCCATGATGCCCGAAGCAAAATTTCCACAATTTCCCTTCATCAGGTCGGAAAATGCTGGTTCCACACTATTACCTTCCAACTGGCATATTTCTCATTTCGCTTCCGTCCGCCTGTTTTGGCGTTTGACGCCAGATTAATCATTCGTTTGCTGCTGTATGTCTCGCTCATGTGACTTATTCTTTTATCCATGCTACGCCCAATTGTAATTTCAACGTGTACCTTACGTTTTCTACCCATTGTTCGACAGACAAATGCTCTTCGCTGCTGGGCACGAGGAGAACTGGGAAATCATGGGAAATAATTCGAAGATTACCTAGATCAGGGGTCATCAAACTACGACCCGCCGACTGCACCCGAATTAGCTTAATAAATTTAGGGAACACAAGACTCTGTGATGAAACTTACATTTGACACCGCATGTCATATTGTCAGCGACCTTGCACTGCTTGAACACTAGTGTCAGGATTTTTACATGTGATACCGTATCAACATTGCTGTGAGTGATCACGCGTGAAACCAAGGCATTCGTATACACTATCGTATTTCTGTTTGCTTCGCGTCGCAATATTGGTATTGGTCCGCTCACTTGAAGGACGTGTCATATAAAATTCCACTAGTTTATGCATGTCATTTTTAAGCCGTAATTAGAACGAGTTCCAGGTTGATAGTATGGAATTGCGCTGGAATCGCGAATTGTTTTCATATTTTTTATATCACTGTACGCATGTTCTCCCAATGGCCTCTGCTCATCAGTTTTTCCGATGTATCAATTGCTTTTTTATCATGTTTGTAATTCAATATTGTTTTCATGTCCAGGTCCCATTTATTACAGCATTTAGTAAAGCGGACAGCGTGTCGTGTTTTTTTGTCTTACGGTTTCCGTTCTGGCTCGCAAGCATTTTGCATGCTGAGTATGCAGCATACGCTAAGCATTTCTTTAGTTATCTGGCCAGCGCTAGTCATTTCCCCAGTACTACGGCCCGCGCCAGTCCGGTCCGCCGAGAAGAAAGTTTGGTGACCCCTGACTTAGATGGATGTGTTCGCTATAAGGTCTATTCAAATGCGCAGAATCCCGGTGTTTTGCGACCGATATTAAGACCAAACGGTCGGGCATCATCTCATTTAAACGGGAGATATCAGCTAGCTCCTCACACATTATACACTCACAGTGCTACGATACTATGCTCGGTAATCACTCAAGTTGACCAGTGCCATTAACTTAGAAAACGAAGCATATAAAAACCAAGTGGCATTGCGCACACCAAATATGGGGGAAAATGTCAAAACAAAATACGACGGCCTGCTGGAATCAAGAAAGCGGCACTGCTTTAATGTGTATTAGAGGAAATTAGGGTACATTGTTTTGGCATCATCGACTTCTGAATTTGTATGTCACTTTGACAGTAAACAGCAACAATACACTCTCATTCTTATGTCTAGTGCGAGCAGGAAAAGGTGAAATCGGAAGACATGCGCGGTTGCGAACCGGTTTTACTTCGGAATCTGTTGTCATAACACTCACCACAGAGACATATGCTTATCTTGTGAGGTCGGTACATACCAGTTAGACTTTGAGAAAGCAAGTATGCCACCTGTACAGAAAGCCTCGACTGGACTGATAGAAGCAAGAAGTGTACGACATCGCACCGGCGCTTTGCTGCCACGCAGTCAACGCCAGTCCATGTTGGGTTGGGGATACTACAAAGTCGTTTGCACTCGAAGACGTTCTAAACCGGCGGCCTGTGGGTTACAAGCCAGACGCCTGGGTCACTGCTCCTTAAACCCAGCAATGTCCGTTTTTGGCACTCTCCTGGGGCCGAGTCCTCTCCAGTTAATCGACCACGGTAGATTATTTTTTTCAAACAGTCGAGCAACCGATACTCCTTTTGTATCGATCGCTGTAACTTGTAGACCAATAATTCTGATATTTACTTGCACAAAGAGGCTCCATTTGGGTTCCAACACAACCTCTTTTAGTCGCCACCCCAAACCACATGTCTGCACGTTACCAGTGAGACAGAACAGCGTCGGATTACACTACTTGGTAAAAAAAACCTGGAGCCTTATGTCCCCGTATACTCGTTAACCGCTTTTTTGGATGTGCATTATGTGCTGTTGCTGCAGTCAGTTGAACGAAATTACGAGCTCTCTCTCTATATGGTTGGCGGCATCCGGTTTCGGATTTGCCTGTCGCTGTGGCCAGCCACAGGACGCCTGCGCCTACAGGGGGACCATGGATGGTTTGCGCTGCACCATCCACAACTCCATCCACACACCCCATATCCAGTGTAAACCCGAAGGAATAATACCGGGAGGCATGCGGATGGGAACCACGTTTCATCAACGGAGCCGGCCCACACTCCTTCACAGGCAAACACAAGCACGCTGTATTTGGGGAATCAAGTGTACACAAGCGGTGGCTGGACCGTAGTCCGCTCCACACTGAGTGCATGGAACCACTCTTCGAACCTACCACGACCACAAGGACCATGCACCCCGTCCCCTCCAGCAACGACCGCCTCCTGGAGCCAGATTGATGTGGTAGTGGGTAATAGATAGGTAGGCATCTTGTCAACATGCACATCAAGCGCAGCCACACCTGGGATGTCAAACAACAGCCAATCATTCAAAATGCCGATATCGAATAAAGTAAACGCATATGACGACACAAATACTCGCTAAATGAGCATATGGATGAAATTGGGTATAAGTGAATCCGCAATAAGTACAAAATGTCCGAAAGTTGTTTAAAAAATACCACGCGATAAAATCACGCAAGTTTACCACAATTTGCATGAGCGACGTGTGCAAGTTGGGAGAAGATTATCAAGTACGCAGAACAAACCAAATAACATGTAATGAATTTTATCCACATTAAAAAGACCTAGTTTAAGTGTAAGTTGGTTTAACCCAACTATATATATATATATATATATATATATATATATATATATATATATATATATATATAATCAGCAGTCTTTAATATCTATATAGAGCCAGCGAAAACCACGACACGGAAGTAATAATTACGGAGACCACAAAGAAAATAATGAAACTTACAAAAAACTTTTTGTTTTTGAATCTTGATTTTTCACACGCCGTTATATCTATTTTTGTCTGTTTAACGTTTGCGATGTAAATCAAGACAAACATTCGTACACATTTTTCATTGGGCCCGGTTCTGCGCCATCTCCGAAAGGGTTTCCGGCCAGCGGTGTTCTTCGTCTTTCACACCAAAGCCCGGAAGACGAACGGGACCTACGACAGTTAAACTGGAAGTCAGCTCTTTAATCGTTTGTCTACATGTGATAGGCTGACCACCGCGCAATTTCTTCGAGCCTGGTCCAGTGCGAGCGAAGAGAGCGCGTCGCGGCAGCCGTTCGCATGGCATGCGTAAAATGTGGCCCAACCATCCAGGTTGGCGCAGCGGTGCCAGTCTGTCAAGTTTAAGTCCCGTGTTACCCAAAACGCGATGTCTAACATCATCAATGCGCACGTGGTTCATCCACCACACTCGAACTAGTCTCCGTAGACATCTTTTGTCAAAGGCCGAAATCCGATGCAAGTCATTAACACGAATCGGCCAGGACTCACTCCCAAACAGCAGCACCGCGCGAACACAAGCATTGTAGACCCTGCCCTTTACCATTAGTGAAACGTCACAGATGCCTCAAGTTGGCGAATGTCGAACGTGCTTTCGCAATGCGGAAGGTAATCTCTTTTTCAATGCTGCCATCAGCAGAAGCACAGCTTCTCAATTAAACAAAATTGTCCACTTGTTCAAGCAACGTACCTTGAAGTGTGAGCACTGGGGCAGGTGGATGCCAATCCAGTACCAGGACTTTGTATTTCGTAGGGGCAAAGATCACTCCATATTTCGATGCTTCAATCGCCAAGCGGTTTATAACGGCTTGTGTGCTATATGCGTCATCACCAAGCAAGGCAATATCATCAGCATAATCTAAATCGGTCACGCGGTTGCCAGGAAGAAGCTCCACACCAGAACCCTGAAAACCCTCGAGTGTTTAAAAGGACATTCTCGATCGCAAAATTGAAGAGAAACGGGGACATGGGGCAACCCTGTCGTACACCGCTTACCATAAGCCCTCATTTTACCTGAGACATTTCAATATAATGCTCGAAGGATAGTGATATACTTTTCGGGTACTCCATTCCTTTGTAAGCAACGCCATAAAGTTGGTTGATCAACGAAGTCGAAAGCGGCTCGGATGTCCTGAAAAACAACGATAGTGCGCTAGCGGTAAAGATGACGCGTTTCAAGAAGTTGGCGTGGCGTAAACAAGTGGTTTATACACCCTCGACCGGGGCGGAAAGCAGCAATTTTTGAATCGGGGTTAGTCTGCGGAGTAGAATGGATGTTAAAAGCTTAGAGGCAATGGACATTAGATTGATTCCTCGGTGGTTAGCGCATAGGGTACGGGCACCTTTCTTGAAGATCGGGACGATAATTGACTTGCCCCAAGCGGATGGAACTATTTCTTCACACCAGATCTTAGAGAACAGAGCTGTTAGCTGGTTGACAAGTGCTTCGCACTCGAACTTGAACAGCTCTGAGGGAAGTCTGTCTGGGCCAGCAGACTTTAATCGCTTCAAGTGTCGGGGCTCAAGGCAGATCTCAGCTTCAGTGGGTGGTTCCAATGAGACGTTCCGAGGTGCGCAACTAGGTATACTCAGGCTCACCGACGGAGGAAGCCATCTGAAGTGTGTGCGGAAGTGTTTAGCCCAGCGGTCCATGGCGCCTGTGTAAGTTGATGATCGGCGTTCTGTCAACCTCACAAATGATCTCACTGACACCATGTGACCAGTGTCCCGCTTGACCTGGAAGAGCTTGCGAAAGTTTTCAGAGAGGGCTGTCGTTTCCATCTCTGAGGCGCGCTGGGACCACCAAGTTTCGCTATCAGCACGCAGGCTTTGCTTAAGTTGTTGGCTGAGA